TGTATTTATGACATGTATTTCAGCATTTAGTGCAAACAAATGCATATTTTTCACCACCAGAAGCAAAAGCGAAAGTATATATTGAGAATAAAAAGGCAATATGTTTAAATATTTAAAAAATCCCCGGCAAGAGGCTCTAGAATTTACATTCATAATACTCCTTATAATTCTTTTTTGCACTATGAAGACATCCTTGCTATTAGTGGCATTTCCCCAAAAGGCAATTCCATATACAATTATAGAGTGAGCATAGGCAAAATATATCATTTTTAGATCATTAATAGATAGTAACGATTTCAGAGACCTAATGGCAAAGCAAGCAGAATTTAATTTCTTTATTGTTTTAGATATATGTCCTTGCCAAGATAAGGATGGATCCAAAGACACCCCCAGAAAGTTCATAACTTGTGTACTATTAACGTGAGAATGTAAATACTTTATAGGGGAGTTTACAATATGTTTCCTTATCGTTGTAAAATACATACAATATGTTTTATTAAAATTTAATATCAAGGAATTTGCCTGAAACCATCTCATCAATTTCTCAACAACTAAATTAAAACATTCTTTAAGCTGATTAGGATCTGAAGTAGATACTATTAAACTAATGTCATCTGCAAATAGGATGGGTTTTGACATATTATTTATTGCTGCTGGCAAATCATTGATATATAATAAAAAAAATAATGGCCCAAGAATTGATCCTTGTGGTACTCCCAATCTGATCTGTTTCCACTCAGAAAAATATTGTATAGCTTGTTTATCCTTAATTACTACTCGTTGGTATCTATCACTTAAATATGAGGTAAGCAATTTATGAAATATACCTCTTATACCATAGAAATCCATTTTCTCAAGTAAAATATCATGGTTCACACTATCAAAGGCCTTGCAAAGTGACTTGTTTTTTGCATCATTACCACTCCATTCTCTTCTTTTCCTTTATCGTATCTATCATGTCTCTCATTTGGACATACTACCTGCTGAATGAAACTAGTTTATGCATCTTGGGAGGAACGTTTATATCATTCAATAAGGGATTAGTGTTTTCTTATCCTCACAATTAAATATTATCCTCTCAGTCATTGAAACAAACTTTTTTATTTTCTTTTTTTCTGTTGGTAGTAATTTTAATTTGTTTTCTTTTATCCTATGCCTTATATCAGCCTAGAGGAATTAAGTTATATATATGAAGTTGTGGTCAGGTTGTAGTTAAGTAAATAAGCAAACAATTCAATAAAGATACTTTTCTTTTTTATGCATGGGTGTTGTCACAAAAAGTATTGTATACATGTTTATATTTATATTTCATAAGATAATTACATAGAGCTGATGAATGACTGACAGATACTTTCTGTATTTTATTTTGATGTTATTTTATGTGCTTGGCTAATACATATGTAAGTCTCTCCTTTAATATTGATTTAGCATGTTTAAATGCTGTTTTGTTTTTGTGCAATGTGATAAGCATGATTTTGGTTTCTTTATAGTGATGAGAAAGAGCCTTTGAAAGATGCTGGTAAGGAAGCTATCATCCAAGGAAGGTGAGACTATACTGAAAGTGTAAAAAGGGTTCAAATAAATACATTACTGGAGGAATTAAATACATTTCAGTGTGTTTTTTATTCAGTATCTGATGAATGCAGAATATCTGATCAGTAGTCAATCTATTAGATCAAAGTTACACTGGTGATATCTCTAGTATGGTAATTTCATCTATATACATACTGGAATTTCCCCCCCCCCCCCCTGGTGCTACAGCCCCAATTTGGTTCNGTTCTTGGCCTACCTCCATAAGACTCTGTTTCATTTCTGTGTACTAGATCTTAGACATTTGGTAGGACTCCTTGGGTGGGTGATCAGCTTATCACAAGGTCCCTACCTGAACACAAACATAGAAAAATGCACATACACACACATAAACACAAAACATCCATATCCTGAGTTGGATTTGAACCCATGATCCCAGCTTCTGAGCAGGCAAAGACAGTGCCTACCTTAGACCGCTCGGCTACTGTGACCAACCATACTGGAAAATAGTTGGATAAAATTCAGTTTGTATCTGGTAACAATGATATTCCTCAGTAATATGCGTATATTATATTTTATTATATCATTTTACTACATTATATATATATAGTAATTGTAATTGCTGGTCAGTTTTACTGCATTTTTCATAAACCAGTACAAGAATTGATTCCTTCCACTGTTGTGAGAGTTCTTCCATACTCCAAATATATTGATATACATGTGAATCTTAGAGTGTAATGTTTTACTTACTTCTTGGATAAATTCTGCTGTAATTTGATGAGTAACTGGTGATGCATACTTTTCAGATTTTCAGTACTAGTCTGAATGTAATAGCTCAGCTGTACACATTTCAGTATTCCTTAACATTTTAACACCACATACACTGAACAAGTCACATAAGTTATTCTTCCATCTGTTCAAAAAAAATCTTAAAAAAACACTGTTTTCATCATTCATGAAGCTAGTTCTAAACTGATAACTCTTCATAAATTCATCTGTTCCTCTGTGCATGTCTTTCATATTTTTGTTCTCACTGTTTGTTTCAAGTTCTTTAATTTTGTCTTTTAAATAATTGTAGATTAATGTGGACATGATCAGTACAATTAATGTTGATTTATATTAATACCTATTACAACAGTATAAAATGTAATGGAAACTAATCAAATGAGATTTCAAATATATCAGTGAGTTCCTTTCCCTTCGGTAATACAAGTATGTCATATATGACTAGGCTTTCAAGAGAATTTTCTGACCACCCTTCTCTTCATTTTCTTTACACTGAGATTGCTGCTGTTTTGTCATGACCCATCACCAAACATTCATTATCTGTAAGGAGAATGTAAAAAAAATCAATTTAAAATAGGCATGTTGTTGAAGAAAGCAGTCTCTGGGATTTGGCACCGTGTATATGTGGTGTTAACCGACGTTTCGGAGGAACGTATCGCCTCCATCTTCAGGGTAGAAAGAAAAATATAAGAAATCCCCAAGCGAAGAGACTGTGAGAACCGGTAAAAGCAGACTGGTGTTGGAAATATACACAGCTATGTGAGAGCAGAGAAGGAAGGGGGGAAGGGCAAGTATACAAGTGAAAAGTAGTGTGGGAGGGGGGTGGAAAGGAGCTGGGACAAGCATGGTTTTTGTGTTGGGGGAGAGAAAGGCAAGGTTAAAGGCTGGGCACTAACCTGTAAGTGGAGGGGGGGGGGTTGTTATGATAGTTGGTCATGGCCTGTGTGGCCTTCTGGATCTGGCGTCATATCCTGGTGGGGGTTTTTAAGAGAACAGATGAGAGGCTTCCAAGACTTGCTGAGACAAAACCCCCCCTCCCTGTTCATATTTTCTGGATGCAGTTCAATCTCAATTGCCTCCCTAGTGATGTGATCCATATAGTGGGTCTTGGTGGCGAGGATGGAGGTATTCTGAAGCTGAATGCAGTGTCCCAGAACGATGCTATGTTCAGCTATGGCCGACTTGTCTGGTTGTTCGAGACGGATATGCCGCTGATGCTCCTTCAACCTCATGTCCACGGAGCAGCCTGTCTGCCCAATATAGACCTTCCCACTCGCATGGGATACTGTATACACCCGGTGTCCTTAGGCCCAGGCTGTCTTTAACTGGCCAGAGAAAATGGGATAATTTGTTTGGAGGCAGACCCACTGCTTTGATGTTGTGCTGGGACAGCACTCTGCTGATACTGTTGAATATGGTCCCGACATAGGGAAGGAAGGCGACTGAGCCCGGTTTGTCTTCAGGCCGGCTGATGTTGGGCCAACGGTTGAGAACTCAGTGGATCTGCCGCTTGTTGTATCCATTCTTCTTGAATACATCCTTCAGGAGCACCAATTCCGCATGTAGGCTGTCTTGTTCCAGTATCAGTACGTATCCAGTACCATGGCCGCATTACCCTTGTCAGCCGGAAGGACAGTGAGCGCCTCATTGGCTTTTAAGGACCAAAGGGCCTATAAAGGATACGATGGATCTGCTAGGACGACATTTCGAAGAAAACATTTTGAGACTCTTCTGCCATATCCTGACCACCTCATACTTCAACTTCAATGGCCAGTTCTATGAAAAAACCGATGGTGTGGCGATGGGCTCACCACTTTCTCCGGTCATCTTTAACCTTTATATGGAGCACTTCGAGGAGAGGGCACTTGACTTGGCCCCACACAAGCTCTGCTGCTGGTTTCGCTACATGGACAACACCTTCGTCATCTGGCCACATGGTCCCTACAAGCTCAAGGACTTCCTGAACCGCCTACATAGTATCCAGCAGTGCATCCAGTTCACAATGGAAACTGAAACTGAAGGCCACCTCCCCTTCCTGGATATAGATATTTACAGGAGACCTGACGGTTCTCTGGGCCATAGAGTGTACCGCAAATCCACCCATACAAACCTCTACCTTAACGCTGCGTCCCACCACCAACCTTCCAACAAGCAAGCTGCACTTTCCACATTGGTGCACAGGGCTAGAGCACTGTGTGATCAAGACAGCCTACATGCGGAGTTGGCGCTCCTGAAGGATGTATTCAAGAAGAACGGATACAACAAGCGGCAGATCCACAGAGCTCTCAACCGTCGGCCCAACATCAGCTGGCCTGAAGACAAACCGGGCTCAGTCGCCTTCCTTCCCTATGTCGGGACCATATTCAACCATATCAGCAGAGTGCTGTCCCAGCACAACATCAAAGCAGTGGGTCTGCCTCCAAACAAATTATCCCATTTCCTCGAGCCGGTTAAAGACAGCCTGGGCCTAAGGACACCGGGTGTATACAGTATCCCATGCGAGTGGGAAGGTCTATATTGGGCAGACAGGCCACTCCGTGGACATGAGGTTGAAGGAGCATCAGCGGCATATCTGTCTCGAGCAACCAGACAAGTCGGCCGTAGCTGAACACAGCATTGATCTGGGACACCGCATTCAGCTTCAGAATACCTCCATCCTTGCCACCAAGACCCGCTATATGGATCGCATCATTAGAGAGGCAATTGAGATTGAACTGCATCCAGAGAATATGAACAGGGAGGGGGGGTTTTGTCTCAGCAAGTCTTGGAAGCCTCTCATCTGTTCTCTTAAAAACCCCCACCAGGATATGACGCCAGATCCAGAAGGCCACACAGGCCATGACCAACTATCATAACAACCCCCCCCCCTCCACTTACAGGTTAGTGCCCAGCCTTTAACCTTGCCTTTCTCTCCCCCAACACAAAAACCATGCTTGTCCCAGCTCCTTTCCACCCCCCTCCCACACTACTTTTCACTTGTATACTTGCCCTTCCCCCCTTCCTTCTCTGCTCTCACATAGCTGTGTATATTTCCAACACCAGTCTGCTTTTACCGGTTCTCACGGTCTCTTTGCTTGTGGATTTCTTATATTTTTCTTTCTACCCTGAAGATGGAGGCGATACGTTCCTCCGAAACGTCGGTTAACACCACATATACACGGTGCCAAATCCCAGAAGACTGCTTTCTTCATAGTCAACGCCATGAAAGCCTAAAATCTTACATAGGCACATTGTTGTTGAAATAATAGCTTTAGTTAATGAAAATATCAAACATTATGTGGTACATGAACTGTTATATGGATATTAAATATTGGTTTTATTTTCCAGTATTGATTTCAAGCTGTAAGTTAATGTGGAAATAGCCATTCTTGATCACTTTCCACATCACTATAAACTATTAATTATGTTACATTTGAGTGCATTATTTTATACAGACCAACCAGATTTAATTGTAGGCAAGTATTTTAACTGTTTATTTCATATTTTCCACGGTTTCTTGTGGAAGATATTCCACATATCCTCAGTATATTTAGTCAGATATATTATCCCAGTTTTGAAAGAAAATTGTACCTTTCCCAGTTTATCCTGCTAGCTGAAGAGGCTATACTCATTTTGGTGAAAAGGGTGGATATAAAGTTAACAGTTTATATAGCAGAGCCCAATAGTTTTGTTTTCTTGAATTTTGATATATGGAAGTATTGTATGTTTGGCTAGTGTGTAACAACACAAAGGATGCTGCCATTTCTCAAAGCTGTGGAACATACATACATACATACATACATACATACATCCGCGTTTCAGAGTATTCACAAGTGTGCAACTGGCACTGAATATAAAACTTGTCAAACAACAGTCACAAGACAGTCACAGATAAAATCACAGAAACATCAATTCAACCATAGTTAAAATCTAAACTGAATACCTCAAATAAATAGATACAATATTACACATACAATTATACCAACAAGACAATTAGCAATACATAATAATTCTCCTTCCTTAACTTACACTTACACTTACTGTCTATGTTAATGCCTACTGTGGGACATCCATCAGTCAGCATGCACTCCCCTTCTATTCCTTGGCTGTTGATCCTGACAGAAGAGCAAAAATTCATCAACAGTATATGATGGATTATGTATTAGGACATCTCTTATTTCATTTATAAACTGTTTTTTTATCATGTACTGAGTTAGATAAATATCTGGGCAGACTGTTAAATATTTTTATACTCATGCAATGGACCCCTCTCTGCCTCATTGCGAGATGTGATTGTAGGACATGTAAATTTCTTTCGTGTCTTGTTGGTCTCTCATAAATTGAATAATTAAAAGTAAAAAAAAAAGTTATTTATCATAAAAGTCATCAGGGATAAAATATATTGAGACACCAGTGTTAATATATTTAACTTTATAAATGCTGGCCTACATGCCTCTCTATGTTTCATCCCCATTATTATTCTAATAGTCTTCTTTTGTAAGAGAAAGATCTTCTTGGCCTCTGACGAATTACCCCAAAAAACTATTCCATGTCTCATGAGTGAATGAAAGTATGCATGATATATCATTTTAAGTGTTGTGACATTACTGTATGGTTTCATAATTCGTATTGCATAACATGCCTTTCCCAATCTGGGTAACAGCAATTCAAGCACTTATCAATTTCAATGACCAAAAATTTAATATGAGTTTCCTCTTGTAATAATTCATCGTTATACTTTAAATGTACAGGCATATTGTCACGATTGATTGTTTCAAATTTTAACACTTTAGTTTTCCTCAAGTTTAGGGATAAGCCATTGTATTTAAGCCACTGACTTAAGGAATTTAACGTACGTTTAGACCTTTCTTGAATTTCATTGATATTAATACCTGACACTAATATACTTGTATCATCGGCATACAACAGTGACTTGTTGTCAGTACTTAATGCTGATGGCAGGTCATTAATATATAAAAGGAATAACAAAGGACCCAAAATCGAGCCCTGTGGCACTCCATATTTGACAGTTCCCCAGTCTGAACAGCATTTACCATTTTCATTATTATAGAGTTCAACTCTTTGTCTTCTATTTTCCAGATAGGACTTCAACCATATTTTTATTTTACCACCAATGCCATATGTTGCTAATTTACTCAAAAGAATATCATGACTCACATAGTCAAATGCTTTTGTCAAATCACAAAAAATTCCCAATGAAAGACTGCATCTTTCCAACATTTCTAAAATATGATTAGTCAATGTACTTGTATATATTGCCATTTCTGTGTTACTGCCTTCTCTAAATCCAAACCGTCCAAAAGACATTAAATTGTTTGTATATATGTGTTGCTTTATCCCATTGTACACCACTCTTTCAAAAATCTTAGAAAAACTTATTAGCAATGATATTGGTCTATAGTTTGCCATAATTGCCTTCTCACCTGTTTTATATATAGGTCTTAATGAGGCAATTTTCATTCTATCAGGATATATTCCATGCTCAAAAGATGCATTAAATATGTGACACAATGGTTTACTTATCTCGGTTATACAGTATTTCAATATCTTACTAGAAATGCCATCATATCCTGTAGAATCTTTTGATTTTTGCAACATAAGTATGCTCTTTATTTCCACCTCCGTTATAGGTATTAGCTTCAGTTCAGGGAATTTATCAAATTTCAAAGGGTCTAAGAATTTAATAGCTTCATTTTTATTGGCACTTTTCGTTTCCAGATTCTCAGCTACAGTTATAAAGTATTTATTGAATACTTCTACTACTTCCTTAGTATTAGTTACTTTGCTATTCCCCACTTTCAATTTGGTTATATTATCTGGGCCCCTCCTTTTCCCAGTTTCTTCCTTAATAATCTTCCAGGTTAATTGTATTTTGTTTTCCGAGTTACTTATAAGTTTTTGGTAGTACAATTTCTTAGCTTCTTTTATTACTTTCGTTAATGTCATACAGTACCTTTTATAGTATGATTCCAATCTTTCATCCTTTGATTTTTTAACCAAGTTGTATAAAGCTCTTTTATGATTGCAAGATGTTCGTATTCCTTTGGTTATCCATTTATTGGTGTCTCACTTATATTCCTTATTTACTCCTGTAAACTATAATTGTGGAATGATTCTTATTTTCAGAATTAAGAAAGAAACATCTGTGGATTTCGACATGAAGAAATCAATTTCCAGAACAAGCTTTGTGGGCAAAGACTCAGCTGTATAGATGCATACCTTTGAAATGTCAGAATGAAAACTGACAATAACAAATACAAACACATTAAGCAGAGTATGGATTGGTTGCAGCTTGAAACTGAATATGATGGCCTTCTTATGCTTTGGATAATTTAAAATGTCCATCTACTCATTCAGTTTAAGAATAGAGGGCCAGATTGCTGCATATTGTGTCTTATAACAAGAATTTACCCTTGCTTATTGTACATTTGCTGCAGATTCAACAGCAGTTAAGACTTTACAGGACACTGTGATTCAGTTGAGGTTCCGAATGAACCATATTAGTGTAACATGTCATATATTTCTTTCCTGTGTCCATTATATCAGTATTGCAAAACTTCAGAGGAACATACTGCAACCCTCAGAGATGTGTTTAGTGAAGCAAATGCCCATGCTAACCACAGGTATACTACTTCAAGCTTATATTTCTTATTGCTGTCATTCCATATATGCAAGTGATTCGTTAATATTGTCGCCATTACTTGATGTAATGACATTATCTTTAAACCTGAGTTCAGTCATTACAGTGGATACAAAACCATATATATATACACGTGTTTACTGATGCTATGTGGAGAATGCTTTTGTATGCATATTTTATCCTCAATTGTGGCCTATATAATTTTAATTTATATATAGATGTAGCGTGATTTAACCCTTTGGGCAGTGGTTATGTGATATGTGCATCAAGAAATAGATGGTATCTTAGCTTTGTAGTGTTTTATCCCATAACAGCAGGCTCAGATATTTGTGAATACAACTTATTATTTTTACCCACAAGGTTGTGGTGTATTCATATTGAAGAAAAATGCACAGCATTTGGAAAATGAGGTTCAGAAGCATGATACATAAGATACCGTAGGAGAATATGTGAGGAATACATAGAAAGGACTGAAAGTGTTCTGGAAAAACAGGACATAATTTTTGCATTGAATTTTATCTATTGATTCAGTGTGAATTTATTTATTAGCTGACAATTGTGTGGAGAATACCATAATATTGTACAGAGTAACCTGAATATCCTTTTTCTTGTGTCTTTATATAAAATAATTATTGATTCTTCCATCTTTGGCTGTGCTGAAAAAACATGTTTTCTACAGCCCCCTTCTACGAGGTGTCTGTTGCAAATTGTTCAGCTCCACCACTTACTCGTGTTATACTACCTTAAGGGTTTATATATATATATATATATGTAAGTTATCTGTGTACTTAGTGTCATGGTTGACAGAATGCCACTGTTCAGAGGGTTGAAAGTGGACTGTTATGAGTAACAATTTTTAAATGTTTGAAATCGTGGTCCAGTCACTTCATCTGATTTGGCATTAAGTACTGAGAACTCTGTTTGTGTAAGGTAGCATACTCGAATAGATGATCGAAAATAGACATTCTGTTGACCATAAGCTTTTACTTTATTGGAAGGCCTGAAAATATTTTTTAATTGCTGGCTGAGTTTCCTTTTAAATATCGCAAATGTCCAAGTAATTAGTAAGTATAGGTCAGTTATTGTACTGAGTTCTTCTCTTGAAAACAGAATAATTTGCTGAATATAAACCTTGAGGTTTATAAATTTCAGGATCATGTTCTGTGTTGAACACTACAAATAAGACTTAAAAAGTAGAAAGTGCAAAAGTTACATATGTTGCATTTGAATATATTGCCGCAAATTTCAGGTTTATTGATTTCAGAAAAGTTCTGAAAATGTGCTTCCCTTATCAACATCTTACAAAGTGAGGTACAAATTTTTTCCCATTAGACTGATATGGAGCTTAATACAGATTTTGAAGTCCTTTATCTATTGTGACAGTATATTAAATAAGATAAAATCAAGCCACATTGGAAAGTAGTTTTGCTACCTATGAATAACGGTAATAAAACCTCTGTTCAATATGACTGAAAATATTTTGCTCCAATTATCTTACAGTTTGCCTATGAACAGATCTAATGCTGTTCAGTGAAATAAAATAGTTTGTAGGTGAGGACGAAGCGGACCAAGTCTCTTAAAGAATTAATTTTGATGCACTGGTAAACCAAACTCTTCATAATAAGTGACTGTTGCAACCATTTCCTTTATTTAAGGGTCAATATTCACATACCTGTTTGCTTTCAAATATAGTTTTCATGATTTTGAACATTTCATGTTGAATGTGTTTTACTCAACATGTGTTAGTTTGGACTAATATAATACTCATTGATTTTCAAGTTGCTGACAGTCTTCATAGAGAACTGTGTAGTTGAGCAGTGTAACAAACTATTCTGTCTCAAATGACAGTGTTCTTGCAGAAAGCTTGAACCAATGGAACTGAAACAGTGACACACCAGGTAGTTTTGGTTGTGATGCAACTAAGAGACAGAAAGCAACTGAGCAGTGTCCCAAGTAACTAATGACATCAAAGTGACAACATTGACTGCTCTAAATTATCATGTGTCAGATTCTGCTGTTTGAAATAGAGGGCTACATTTATTTAGCAAAAAAAGAATTCCTTCTTTAATGTTCATATATGAGCAGCAAAATGTTCACCAATTTTAATTTAGATTGCAACCAATCGCTTGTAGTATTCTTTTAAACTGGAATGTGGCTGGGAAAAAGATGAGAATGAAATTTGTGTCATTTATGATTATCACAGTATTTTTTCAACAATGAAATTCAATAATATTTCAAAGTCTCGTAGATTCTGTAGTCTCTGATAACAATTGGAACAGACAATTTTTGTACCATATTCATAGTTATTAATTGTTCTAGGTAAAGACCTCTTAATTCTGTGAAAACTGACCCTTACATAGAGCTTAACTCTCAGCTGTATAAAGTATTATTCCTTCCAGTAGCTAGTGTGGTCCATGGCAGTCAAGTGAATGCTTTTGAAGAACAGACTGAAAGATCATAAACTGGAAATATTGATGTACTCTAATAATTTCAGTGACTCTTTCATTGCAATGTCCTCAGTATTTATATGTAGCTTTTCATTCTGATCCACAAATTTAAAATCCCTGTTCTAAACATGTTTTTCTTTCTTTTTTTTTTCTTTCAAATTAACATACTTCTTGCTGCAATATTAGCAGAGGTTTAGTATTCCTAACCATATTAGGTAGCATACGTACCCAGAGTATTCACCAGTGGTCCTTTATCTGATAAATGTTGTAAAAGGAATACAAGACATCAAGGTACTTTCTAAAATTTCCAATGTACTGACAATAACTTAACTTTTATTTTGTAAGAAATGTATGGATGGTACTTATTTCTTTTAGTCAGTAAAAGAATATTGTGTATTTATTTTTACAGCATTAAAATGTGCAATGAACTGAGAATCTGATATTGAAGGCAGAGGGAATTTAGTTATGTGTATGTCCTCTGTTATAGGATAGAGACATTAATTTACACTTATTAAAACTTTGGATATGCTGGTAACATAAGCCTTAAGTGAAATAGAAGGAAACTGATGAAAGTGCAATGTTACTTTGGAAGAGTAATTACAAGATGAAAGTAAAACAGAATGTCCAGTATTTTTCAGATAAATTTTTGCATGTCAAACCATTTATGCGCTTATGTGTGTTGTGCTATGTACATTGAAAATAAAAACATATAATTGTAATACTAAAAGCATGAAGAAGTTGGCCTGCCTCAAAAACAATATTTATCATCCATGTTTTCATTCAAAGATTCACAGCAATGGGAGTATAATGATCATTACACCTGATATGGAGGGAATTCTAGTATCAAGAATTTGGTTCAGTTATTTTGAGTTTTTGATCCAATTTTTGTCTCTTATGTTCATAGTGCAGTTCAGTTGAATATAAATGCATTATCTGCCGATCTGTACGGATGAGCTGATCGAAGCGCTGTTCATTGTGAAGAGTGGCAGCTGAGCAGGGGCGCCTAGCATTTGGTTTGTCGCACATTTCACTTTCACCACTGTTGAAATGCACTACCCACTGCCTCACTGTGCTGACATCCATTGTATCATCTCCGTACACCTTTAGCAAGCGTCGGTGGATGTCAGTGGGTGCAATTTGTTCGGCAGTGAGAAATTCAATAACACATCTCTGTTTCGTACACACTTCTATGTCAGATGCCATTTTGGTAGACTGCTCTGCTGTCGCATGACAACCAAACTAACAGTACATTGGCGGGAAGGTTCAACCTTTACTACAACACCACCAACATCCACCTCAGACGTTACATATTAACACAAAAAAATAGGAGGCATTATATACGGAACGCCCTTCGTAGTTTAGCAGCCATGAGTACCATACATACGGGAAGGGTATGGAGTAAATGCCACAGTCTCTTTTGAATGTATTTTTATTAGGTCTGTAGTAGGAAACAGGAAAGTGATTATATACACACAAGCGCACACACTAAAAGCAAACCCCGTGCAACATGCTTGCAGGAATGATGTTGGAGGCACAAGTTGACCCCTTGCATGCCAGATCTGAATAAATATGACATTTTGAAGGTCTGTCTCTTCAAATCACGAGTTGAGATATGTCCAACTCATGAATACTACAGCTGTAGGGCAATGGCCAGTGGTCCCTAGGCAAGTGTATTGGTAGTGTGTGTATCACATTTATAATCTTTATGAAGTGCATTGACAGCCACAATTGCCATTTCCTGGGGTTTTCTCCTATGGGCATTGTGCCATAATGTAACATGGACAGCGCAACAGGAAGTAGGGGTCACGTGAACTCTGTGTTTCCGCGAGTGATGTCACATATTCCACTCCTTCCATCATTGCGCAACACTGTCCACGTTACATTATGTTATGCACCTCACATTACTGTAAAATATTTTACAATAATCTCACAAAATAATATACAGTGCTAACAAAATATCCAAAAATTTAACATTAGAAGAGCAATTGGAATTCATACAAGGATCAGGCTAGGTGTACTTATTATTATCAGATTAACACACAGAAATGAATTGTTATGACCCAAGGGTTATGTACAAGTAGATATGTTTTTTTGGGGGTAAATTTGGAATAAGTGTATCTAGACTTTAAGATTAAGAAATAGAAATAATGAAATGTACCAGGAAGCAGGAGTTTGCACAGAAGTATAACGCCAGTGGTGAGGCAATCGCTTTGTAATCAGAATGTTAGCACGACAGCGTAATAAAGCTGACATTGAGGAAGAAGCTATATGAAGTGGGTCATAAAAGAACTATGGCAAGAGGAAAACGCTGAGTTGGATAGGGCGGTAGACCTGAAAGAGTCAACCCCCTTTCGATAAACAGCCAATGAGTGGGCCACACCGACCCAATACCCCCGGAACCCAGCGAGTCAGCAAAAAGAGGGTACATAAACTCGAGAAGAATCAATCAAAAAACTTTTTTAATATTATTGATTGTCAGAGAGTCAGCTGTAAGCTATCGCCAAGAAAGTGATGGCGAGGAGTAGTGGTTGGTGTGTAGTGATGGCGGCCTGTTTCCTCAGCTCAAGTAAGTGAACTTACCTCATATAAGCCATGAACATTAAGTGTGATAATATTAAAGTGCAAACCCCAGGGAGAGAAAGTGAAGACTAGATGGACTAGGTTTACTGAGAGAGATAGAGAGAGGTATTGGGTACCCAACAGCAGGGTGACAGAGGAGCAGGAGTGATGTGTGTGCTACAGGATAATAACCCAAATGTAATGCGAACCGACAAACATCGGCAAAGTGTGTATATATTATGTATATAGCGACACAGGTGAATAGAGTAGGATAGAAATGCGCTGTGATGTTAATTGAACCTAGTAGTCCCTCGAGTGTTATCGTCTTCCCTGCCGACTCCAGCCTCCCTCCGAATCCTCCAGGAGAATTGCAAACTCAAGCCAAGGCGGCCGATACGTCAGTGATTGTAAATTTACCTGAGACCCTCCCTAAGACCTAACAAGATAGTGACAGCGGTGAGACAACCAATCCACCCCTGTCGCAGAAGAATAATAATAAGTGGTGGCAAGGAGGGTTACCTCCACGCCCCCTGTCACCACGACGTAATATGAATAAAAACATATTTTATTGAGTATTTCAAGGTATTTTACAGATTAAAAGAAGACATAATATGGTACATTCGAAAGATAAGAATCTACATAGCAAGTAAAGTACATATTAATTCATTTATGATTTAAACAAGGGTGTGGTATGTTAGCTGTGCTTTTTGTCTCTATTGATAAAATAATACATTGGAAAAGCCAGCTATTATCTCTTACAAGTGATTTTAATGCTCTTTTTAAATGACTCTAAGATGACCAAGTGAAAGTAGCCTCAAAATTACAAAATACACCACCAAATAAAAATTTCAGAAATTGAAGAGAGCTTTTGAAAAATTTTAAATTCTAGACTCTTGACATTATATACTGAAAATAGTGTACATTATCTAATTGTTTTTTTCAATTATACATGTGCCCCAAATTTGGGGCTCATAATAAATGAAATCCTTGGAAGCAGGAAAACTGTAACTTCTCTGTTTATCTCTGCTTTTATCCATTTGTGTTTTGTTGCAGTATGTAAATTTGATCAGAATGGGTCAATAGAGACAAAACTGACAGCATGAGAGCACAAGATTTCTCATTTATCTGTTCATTAAAGGTAGTACAGGGGTGACCAAAACATGTAATCAGTATCTATGAGGGCTTTTTTTTTTAGGTACCTGCTATTAAGTTTCTTACCTAATACAATATTATGAACCATAAATGTCTCATTAAATGCTAGGTCTAAAACAGTTGCTGGGTCTCAAACAAGAATATGATAGCGACTGTTCACCTGAAGGTACTAATCTCTTGACCTTTTTCATCACTTAAGAGAAGCACAAATTTCAAAGATTAATAATTGCATTATAATGCCATGAATCTTGAAGTAAACATCACAGCTCAATAATATTGTATCGTACTGTCCTCTTGCACATCGCGTATTTATTCCTGTTAGTTATTAGCCATCTCTCATGAACTTTCTTTTTTAAATTCTTTAAAAGCTTTAAATTTTAAAATAACTTACACATTACTGGTGTCTGAAAATTTCTGATGAAACTGCTGTGTTCTGTCCATATGTTCAATTTTTGGGGTATGCCCTATATATGACAATACCCATCACTATAGGACATATGGGCACGTAGATGAGGGAGTACCCCAAACATTGAACTTACAGACAGAAGCACAGCAGTCCATCAGCAATTTTTAAGACACTTGAAGAAGATCACTGTTGACTGAAATATGTAATTCGCACACACCCATGATGTAGAAGTGCTTTTAATGTTTAAAGCTTTCCGAGGTTTTAAAAATGTAAGTTGCACATGAGACAGCTAATAACTAACAGGAATAAATAATCACAACTCATACTGTAGCATATAAATTATAAATTCTAATAAAAATTATGTTTTATTTTGTCCCTTAAATGAGATTTCACTTTGAAATGTTAAGTCACCCATTAAAACAGATGTTAATGGGAGGGTAATACTGCCTTCAAAAACAAAGTGTTTTGATACAGTGGAAATAATGTTTTCAAAATAACACACCAAACATTCCACTCTAAATGCGCCTGGACAAATGACACAAAAGCATAAGTGCTGCCATGTTTATAAAAGGTGGAAGTCAATAAAAACTGATGTGACAAAGGAGCTTTCCTTATGAAGGTGGATATACCCAACAAGGAATTGTATTGGCACTTTAGTAAATCAAACTACTGATACTTCTATAGGAGGCTGTGCTTCAAACCTTTCGACCCTCCCAACTCCCCTAGATACCACTGCAAAGTAAAAGTTTTAAGATTGAATCTTCCTTACCATCAGCAATACTGATAAAAAAATATGCATCAGAGAAATGAGCACAACTTTGATCATGGAATGAATCATAGTTGAAGTGACTTGTTCCAACCCATTGGATGATGAAGTCTGACAACAAACATTTCATCATGGCAGGACCCATTACATTTCTTCAACTGGAATGTTACTTAGCTGAGTCAGACATTTGAGCAATACAAGCAGATCTGTATGATGAGATCTATCCATGTTACACCTCTATTCCCGCATTTGATTTCAAGCCCTTCTTGTTCAGTTGTTTTTCAGATTGGAGCTTGGGAGCTTCAGTTCTTGTATGCCACACATATACCTGCAGGAAAAAAAAAAAAGTCCTCCTGTATATCCAAATTAGACTGGGGCTGGTTTCGGAAATGAGACAAACCAACTTTTTCTTTCATCACATCCAAAAACTGACTTCATTTTATTTAGCTGAAATAATCAGAAAATGTTACTTCCTTTCTAGTAACTGTAACTGAAACATTATTTGAATGCAGCAATCCATAATTACCCATTACAGTGCTAATCTCAAATAAACTAAAGTAAAATAAAGTTGAAGATGATCACACTGAACCCTGTATCTGACTTCTCTGCACAAGAGTCACTTGGTGACAGAGGCAAAAACTGTTCCTTACCTAGAGACTGTATCGTCTTGCAAATTATAACAAATTGCCTGGCATTTCTTATATATACATATATGTGTTTTGAGACTATATTTGAGCCAGTGGAAGAATCGTCACAAGCAGTGATGATAAGAGCTGGGGTGGTCTGCCACTCTACCATCCTGACACCCCTTGTCTAATGCTAGCACAGAACAGACTGGCCAATAGGAATAGAAGACTGAGAGCAGGGGAAAGAGCCAGTCTACATGAATTCTTTACTTGACTCCATTATGGTATTGAGATAACACAGCAATCCTATTTTATTTTTTAAATCGTAAAGTGGTCTAAACCATGAAGAAAGCAGTCTTCTGGGATTTGGCACCGTGTATATGTGGTGTTAACCGACGTTTCGGAGGAACGTATCGCCCCCATCTTCAGGGTAGAAGAAAAAGTATAAGAATTCTGCAAGCGACAACACCGTGAGAAACGGTAAAGCAGACTCGGTTAACACCACATATACACGGTGCCAAATCCCAGAACACTGCTTTCTTCATAGTCACCGCCGTGAAAGCCTCAAATCTTACATGGTCTAAACCACTTCGTACTGAAAGAAATTTAATGTCATCTTGTGACTTTGGCATGTTAATAATATCTGTAACTTATACAAGAATTAATCTGCTGTAACACATACATTGAATACTGATTCATTGATAATTTCCTTTCATTAGATTTCCCATTTCCTAGATAGCTAAAAGCTGAACTAGGCAGTGCAGAGTGCTTGTAACATATGTTCACAGATTTTGTTTGTAATTTTTCCCATCCCTACCTTTTTACTGACAGACTTGATTTCACCTCAACAGAAATATTTTAGTATCAGCTGTATAAGAAGGAAATGCCCTTATTCATTTTGTTTATGGCACAATGGAAGCAGTAGAATAGGTAGCACTTTTCAATATTCAGATTATTGTACACAAACAAAGCCAACTATCAGGAACATGTATACAGTTTGAAAATAATGTAAACAATTTGATTCTGTAAAAACAAGTGTAAGCTGTCACTAACTTTTGTTGGGTTTTGTCACCGTTAGAATACTCTCTTAACATTATACAATGGGACTGTTGGAAATAAGTTTCTGAAAGTACTCTCAATTTCCAACAGAATAATCAAAATTAAACCTTTCATTGAAATATTCAGGTATTGGAACATGAAAAATATCACTTGGGAAAGCTCTGGTGAGGACACTAATGAGATGTGCTGACAGACTGTAAAAATATCTAAGAATTCAGTATGAAATGCTGTTTGAAAATCAGCAGTTACAAAGACAGTGACAGTGCAGAATTTTGAGATTATGTCCAGCAAACTTAATACAGACAAATTCTGTGCATAATAATGGTGATGAGTGACAATGACAATGACTGCAAGCAATAAGAATTTGATTAAAGTAAGTCTGAGTCTTATGGCCATCTGCTCATCAGTTCCAACATGCTAGCCCACGAGCTAAACTGAATTTTATTGCTGCATTAGAAATTTATGTTACCAAAGAACATCAACAGCACAAGATTGGTAGGGCTGGAACTCTATAATTGGAAAATAGGCTTTATGGAGTACCTGGATTGATTGTTTACTGTGGAGGAACTGATTTATGGATGACTCCTTTAGCATTACAAAGGAGATTACTTGGTTCTGAAGTCTGATTCTCACACAGGAATTTTGTTCTGGGAGACCCTGTACATTCCAAAGGAGACTGGCATACTGTTCCTGAATCATCCTCAGGAGCTAAAACATGTGACTTTGCAAACTGGATGACTGCTATTGACCACAACACCATACTAGCATAAGTTTAAAATAACAACATCCTCTTATTATTGTTATAGGTGTATTGGTTACTAGCATTATTGCCAGTTCACAATGGTCGCCCTTGAACACGTTACAGTCATCAGCTGCAAGTCTTTGGAATGATATAAAGCAAATTTGTTACCCAAAGAAAACAGTTAACGTTTTACATCTACTGTAGTTATAAAGTGAGCTAGTACTAACTCTGGTGCAGTTGTCGGCTTTGGGTTCAAGTTGTTCTTGAGTTACCAAATGTCGTAGAATCTCCGATTCTTGATAACCACTTTCCACATTAAAGGAAAATTTGGCTTCTGGATGTTTCAGAAAATGAGATAAATTTATTGCAAAGCCAGCCATGTCTACAGGGAATGGTCGTTCTGGTCGCCAAGCACTGTTCCATCCTGTAACATGACCTGTTTTGGGGTCCAACACAGGCATCTCCACCATAAGCCCACCAGCAAGTCCTACAGGCCATACGCTCACCATTTGTGTGTCTCTCATCTGGTGGAATAAAGACAGTTTCTGTTCTCAGATATTAATAAACACTAAAAGATATGGCTAAATGTGTATAACTTCAGAATTTAATTACTGTAAAAACAAAGAACTACATTTAATAAACACTAAAAGATATGGCTAAATGTGTATAACTTCAGAATTTAATTACTGTAAAAACAAACAACTACATCTTTATTGATCCTAGAAGTGTCAGTATTGTTTTATGTCATGGAAGACTTTTTCCTGGGGGGAGGGGGGGGGGACAAATACATTTGTATTAATTTATCAGTCTCTGCAAATTCCTTTCATGCAAACTATAAAATGCCATGCATGAAATTGTTTAATAAAAACAGGGGAATCCATTTCTGCAATGAAATGTAATCTACACTTTATTGTAAAATGTTTTAATTTAATTTTTTAACTATTTTCACAATTTTATAAAACATGTTCCATAACCAAACTCTTTTGAAAATAATATGAGAATAAATCAAATATATATGATGCAAAAACATATGACAAATTCATGAACATTTTTTTCAAAATTTCATCCATCTAATAATTGACAGTTTTCTTACAAGCACCACTAATCTAAAATTCTGTAACAGCAGAGTTGTGTGTGTGAAATACAGTTGATAACGTCTGCTTCTAGGTTTAAAAAGTTCAGCCTTATTTAGCCAGTCAGGTCATGCTGTTTTCCTTTTGTCCTGAACCAAGCTAGTTTGTGAAAATTGTACTCAATCATAACTATGAAGAATACCATCTTCTTGGATATGGCGCTGTGTAGATCTTGTGTGAACCGACGTTCTGGAGGAACATATTGCCTCCATCGTCAGGGTTGACGGAGGTGATATGTTCCTCCAGAACGTCGGTTCACACAAGATCTACATGGTGCCACATCCCAGAAGACAGCATTCTTCATAGTCATCACTGTGAAAACTTCAAATCTCAATCATAACTGCTTTATTTTCAGTAACACACTTTACAAACATGATTATTGATTATCTACACATATAGACATCTGTTGATACCCTACTAATTTATGAAACTGGCAAATATTCCTGTCCTAATAATGGAGTTCAGCCGTACTTAATAAAAGTCTTGTGCAAAATATTAAAAATATATGTGAAAATATGAAATATTAAACTAGTTACAAATAATATGTTGGAAGCCAAATGTACCTCTTCAAATACTTCTAAGCCATATGAGTTGTCATCATCTGCAAAATATATGACTCCTTGAGCTACATCAGCTTTCAGATTGTTTCGGATCCACTGTAATGCAGTGTTGCGCTGCAAAACTCCACGTGGTTTCTTCCAGTTGGATTCCTGTCAAATACAAACATTTCAGTGTCTCACAGTTCAACTGTCTGTCCATACAGAAGGCTCATTCACACAGTTGAAGTCTCTGTACTGTATGAACCAGTGTATGTTATACCTTGCACAGGCAACATTACAGAAGAAAAATCCTCTTTAAGTATGTCTGAATTTTCCACCAGCCTATGAAAACCAAAAGTATTTTGAAAATGGTATCTAGCAACTTTCCAATGGTGATGTAATCGTCTACATTACTGGCAATGATGCGCCGTTGTTCCCATTCTAAAGGGGGCATAGTAATGTGAGCATATGCAGAAGTCAGGTACTATGGGAAGTGATTTAATCACTTATGAAGTGTGATTGCTCAAGGCAGTATGAACAATGCAGGAAGCATTCAGTAAAGGTTTCTTAATCAGATTCATGATTGTGGCAAATCTTTACTTCCATTTTATCCTAAAATGTACGTATTTCAGACACGCAAAATCACATTCCATTCTCCACATGTGGTAGTGCACGAGACCCAAGTAGGGCTGTCCATTTGCCACGTTATAAATTTTCATCCAGAAAGAACAATAAAGTGATGCTGGTGTTTCAGAAAAAATTTACAAACACTTTTATAATCATTAAGATTTCTAAAACTTCACTCATGTACCATTAGTTACTGAAGAGAGTAAGACTACAAGCAAAAGGCCAATAAGCCAATTCTATAAAGTGAAAAGGTCTCTCTCTCTCTCTCTCTCATATTCATTTACTAGATTGCTTAATTCTACCACACCAACAGGAGTAACAAGAGGATAGGAGGGGATATGACAGGAATCTATTTAAAGATATGAAGGGGGACCCCAAAAAACCGGAATTTGTTTCTAGGAGGTGGGGCGCTTGTAGTACAGGCTTCTGCTCCTAGTGGTTATTTGCAGCACCTTCCTGAATCAGTATGCCGGCTGGTGTTGTCAGAGAAGTTTGTGTTAGTGTTTGGTTTATTTTTTCCAAGTGACTTTTTTAAAATTTGTCTATTTTTTAATGGCTGATTCACATGAACAATGTGCTGCTGTGAAGTTTTGTTTCCTTTTGGGAAAAACAGCAGCAGAAATGGTTGTTATGCTGCAAACAGCTGACAAAGATTATCCAAAGATGTGCCAGGAATAACTAAGAACACCCAGTCAATATTTCAATCAGTCAGGACTGAGACTCAATAAGCAAAACTGTCTATATATTAACCACTCCAAACCATGTATTTATCAAATTTTACTGCAAATGATTAATCTTCAATAACTGTCACTTCATGTAAAGAGTATAATAAAAATAATTCTGAAGTCACTTAACAGATTTGTAATGTCACTGTTAGCAGGAATTCATATTTAAAAATGCCATATATATTTATTAATTGTTAACTTAATGTCACTGGCATGGTGTATATTAACAAGATACAGTGAGAATTTTTGCAAGCATGCACTTAGGCAGAAGAGGTGGATGCTGTTCCACAAAGTCAGGCCAATCATGACACATATGTTCACTACATGGAAGCACTGTCCAGAAGTCACCAACAAAAAAATCCTTCATACCTCTATGCAGCGGGGGGTACGCGGTAGCATAGTTGGTTGAGGCACTATGCTACAAGCCGGAAGGAGGCGGGATCGAATCCCAATGAGGTCATTGTATTTTTTTTTAAATTTACCTAATCTTTCCAGCCAAACTATGGCCCTGGGGTTGACTCAGCCTCTAACAGAAATGAGTACCAGGAATATTCTTGGAATGTTCTTGGGGGTAAAGGGCGGCCGGTGCGTAAGGCTGACAACCTTACCGCCATCTATGAGCTGACTGTCTAGAGAAAATGTGGGAACCTCAACATCTCACAACCCTACGGGCCTCCACAGCCTGTTACAATGATATCTTTACTTTTTGTACTTTACCTCTATGCAGCATACAAAATCTTATTGTCAGTTTACTTTATGAGCAACTGACCTGTATAAGAAATAAATGAATGCCAAGATGAAACACACTCAAAATTATAAAAATACATTTGGAAATAATGCATTCCAAAGTGGAGGATACCATTTCGCTCATATGATGCTGAGATATATACTTGAAAGAATACTGTACAACAGTATGATCATAAGCCAACTGATATTACTGAACAAATGTAAATAATAAAGTAAGTAAATGCTCAGCCACACATTGCCCTTTTAAGTTGCTCTGCTCAACAAAGACAGCATATTTTTCATAAATACTGAACTTACTTAAGAAGTCAGGATAGCGTGGGCAGTATGGTGATGGGTCATGGTCTGGACAGCCAGGGTTCAACTCCCAATAGGGGTAAGAGATTTTTCTCTTCTCCACAGCATCCAGACTGACTCTGGGGCCCACCCAGCCTCATATCCAGTGGTTACCAAGGATAAAGTAGTGATGGCATGAAGCTGACCACTCACCTACATCTAGTGCTGAGGTCAAGAATGATGGAGTTGTATTTCTACTCCCCGATACACCTCCATGTTGTGATACTTAATTAATTAAGCAAAGTGACAACTCTATCTTTACATGAACTTGGTTATAAACAGACCTTTTCTCTGAGTTTCCATTGTTTAGGAGTGGCTGCAGTCAGATGTGTATATGCAATGCCAGAATTCTTTAGGAGTTTTCCTACCAAGGATGATGGACTTTCCGCATCTTCAATAACAATCCAGTGCAAGTTGGGAACAAGCATCAGTGTGTGTGACAAACTGTACAAAAGACTGCAACTTAATTTGCGACACAACTGGAACGCAGTCAAATATAACACAGACTTGTGATATCATGACATACAATATATTAATTCTTTCTTTTGAGAAATTCTACATGTAAATGAAACTAGAATTTATTTACATTAGATTCTTTGTAAGACTAAGTCATGGATGTAGGACATGCCTTAAAAAAATATGCAAGAAATGAATGTCTGCATAAAGTCTCAAAATAAAATTATAATATATTTGTGTATGCAGGATTGAAATGTGGCATTGACATCTGAATTCTGACAGTCAGGTGAATACAAACTATTAAACAGATATGTAATAATTTTTCTTCCCTACGTGTAAAACTGTTGGTACACTGATATTACAACATTCCCCTAACAGTTAAAAAGTCCTTCATTAGATTAAAAAATTATACTAAATTCAATCCATTTTCTGAATAGTCCAAAGACTGGATGGTATATATATGACATATTTTAAACTGTTGATATTGAAGAATAACAGTGCCTGCAGAGCAATGATAACTGTTTTAAAGGATCTTCTCTACTCTTTGTGTAACTTATATGTGTATTACCGTGTTAATTCTGCTTTCTGAACTGGCCTTGCGTATGTTGGCGTGATTGCATAGACCACTGGCAAATGGGGGTTAAATCTTGAAGATTTTAAACTTCTGCATTCTGAAGACAGTTTTGCTAACTGAAGAATAAAAACAAACCACAACATTTTATGAAGCACTCCATTTCTAACACTAAGATGTTATCATAGAAATATTTCAGTTATCAAGCTAAATATTCACGTATTAGCCCACTAGTCTTGCATCAAATTCAGTGCTACACAATATATAATATATAATGGTCACACATATTATTATTTCAAACTGCCAGAGTAATGATCCTTACAGACGAAAAGACAGCATTAATAAATGTACTTCCTATTCAAGCATTGGCATGACTCTCTTGTTTTAATTACTATTAATATAATTCATCTTGCACTCAGACAACTGCGGAGATACAGAACCTGCTTGACTGACTGCACATTGAAATGAAACAAAATATGAGATAATAATGCATATAGGAGAAGTGAAATGTTGTCAGGGAGTAACAATACACACCAAGGAATCATCAGTGCGACACAGATATTCAACGAAAATTAAACACACAATTTAAAGAGTGAAGTACAAGAATACAGACAATACTGCAGAATGAGAGAATTTTTTGAGTTCCCTGCATATTGTTGAAATTCTCAGGTGAAAAAGTTGGACACTCCTCCCACCAAGTTGGGCCTGCACACATTCAGACCGCTAGTACATCCAACAGCATAAAAACAGTCCCAAGTAAAGTTGCATATTACAGCACAGGTCTGAAATGCTCTCTGTTGTTTCATACAAACTCCTGGCACATCCATGAAAAGTCTACCTTCATGCACTGACATTTTGTTTGTATATACAGTAATCTTCTCATATTTTCCTTCAGTTCTAATCTGTAAATTTTTTGCTTTATGGTTCCACATAAATTAAAGTCACGTGCGTCAGAGGTGTCTGCTAACCACAGACCACTATTAATTCGGTCTCCAGACATCCCTCATGTCCAAGAACAGCCTTGCTGTACTAAAGCATTAACAAAGTCATACCAGCATTCCACATCAGTTAGACACTTGAAAAATGGGTGGAGTATCTGCTCCATGTACCTTTCAAAATTAACTATGTTCTTGAGAAAGAAAAAAAAAATCAGTCCAGTTCTTTGTACTGATTAACACAAATTTTAAAATCATGTAGTGGAACATGCATTAGTGCTGGATTTTGTGACCTTCAGTGCCCACTGTTTTTTTTTTAATTTGCCTTGCCATGTAAGTGAAACCCAAGTCTCTCTTGAAGATAAAATCAGGTGAGAGCCATTTTCACCAACGTGAACAGACTCATGGAGCTGAGCCCTTCTTGAGAAGCCACCAAATGGGCAGCTATTCAAGGACTTCCCAGCATTTTATAGACCCCGAAGGTTCATTACCATGTTCACAAGAGCCCTCCACTGGTCCTTATCCTGAGCCAGATTGATCCAGTCCATACTATCCCATCCTATCTCTCTGAGATCCATTCTAATGTCCACCCAACTGTGTCTTGGTCTTCTTAGTGGTCTCTTTCCCTCTGGCATTCTAACCTATATCCTACATGCATTCCTCTTCTGCCCCAATTGTGCTACATGCCCTGCCCATCTTATCCTCCTTGACTTGATCATTCTAATTATACTTGGAGAAGAGCTAAAGTTATGAAACTCCTCATTATGCAGTTTTCTCCAACCTCCTATCATTTAATCTCTCTTTGGGCCAAATATTTTCCTCAACACCCTGTTCTCAAACACCCTCTGTCTGTGTTCCTCCCTTAATGTCAGAGACCAAGTTTCCCACCCATACAGAACCACAGGCAAAATTACAGTTTTGCATATTCTAATTCTTATGTTATTAGACAGCAAATGAGAAGAAAAAAGATTCTGGACTGAATGGTAGCAAGCATTACCTGAATTCAATCTCTTAATTTCCTCCTGACTCAGGTTTTGATTTGTTATAGTCCTTCTGAAATATCTGAACTGTATCACATTTTCAAAACATATGTTGCCTATCTTTTATGTCACAATTTTGCCCTGCATTTTGGTGGCAAGACAGCAACATGCACTTAGTTTTCTCTGTGTTTACTTCTACACCAACCTCCTTACTAGTGTCAATTAAAGTTTCTGTGTTTTTCAACACAAACTGAGGGTTTCTGAGAACAGGGTGTTAGGAGAATATTTTGACCCTAGATGGATGATGTGACAAGAGGTTGGAGAAAACTGCAAAATGAGGAGCTTCTCCAAGTTTAATTAGAATGATCAAGTGAAGGAGGATGAGGTGGGCAGGGAATGTAGCACAAATGGGGGAGGCGAGGAATGCATATAGGATATTGGTGGCTGGACAATATTAAAATGGATCTTAGAGAGATAGGATGGGATGGTATGGATTGGATTGATCTGGCTCAGGATAGAGACCAGTGGAGGGCTCTTGTGAATACAGTAATGAACCTTCGGGTTCCATAAAATTCTGGGAATTCTTGTGTCTTTCTTTATGGCATCTATATTATCACCCAATAGATTCACATCATCAGCATAGCATTTACCTATATGGACTTTACTATATGTTTAGTTTAAACACATTTTAATCAGCCTAGTAGCTCCATGGGTACCCCAAAACCTATCAAAATACTGTACAATATATCCTTCAGCTGAATCATAGGCTTTCTTGAAGTCTATGAATAGCTGATACACTGTCTCACTGTACTCCTGTTTTTCTCCAATATCTGACGAATGCAAAAGATCTGATCCATAGTTGATCTGTTATATTGGAACCAACACTGGTGATAGCCAATAATTTCATCTATGTATGAACATAACCTTGAGAGAAAAATATTGGATAAAATTTTGTATGAAGTTGATACCAGTGATATGCCCCGATAATTACTACAGTCAGTTTTATCAACCCTTCTTGTGAACTGTTACAATAATAGACTCCTTCCACTGATCAGGCAATTTTTCCTTATGCCAAATCAAAGTAATTAGCTTATGGATCTTAGAATGTACTATTTTGCCTCCTGCTTGAATAATTCTGCTGGAATTTGATCACTACCTGGCAATTTATACCTTTTCAATTTTGCAATAGCACTTTCAACCTCAAAAGGGCTAGAATCAGGTACTAATGATTCAGCTGTATGTATTTCTAACTGCCTAACATAATTGACCCTATGTACATTCAATAACTGAGAGAAGTAGTTCTTCAACCTATTCAAAATGCTGTGGGAATCTGCAAGCAGATCACCATTCTCATCCTTCACTGAGTTACTTCTAGGTTGGTAACCCCTCTTAAAGTCATTTATTCCTCTATACAGGTCTCTAATGTTCTTGTTCTTACTGCTCATTGCAAGCTCATCAATTTGTCTTTCACAAATTCCTTCTTTGTATATTCCTGAAATGCCTGCTGGTTTCATGTCTTATATTGTTCATATTATCCCTATTTATTTCGATTGGATCCTGTAAAAACTTAAATTTTGCTTGAAGAAAGCAGTCTTCTGGGATTTGGCACCGTGTATATGTGGTGTTAACCGACGTTTCGGAGGAACGTATCGCCCCCATCTTCAGGNGCTTGTTTTCTTTTGTCTAATTATTTTGAACATCCTTCAAGGAACCATGGCTTAATGCTTCTTCAGTTCAAAATAATGTTGACTGTCTTTGGCAGAAATTCTGATATTCTAATAGTTTCCCAAGCTTCTTTAACATCCACACTGGTGTCTAAGTTTTCCAAAGCTGTGAACCTAGTTGAGATTTCAACACAATACTGCTCCTTACCATCTACCTTGCTTAGTTTCTTGAGATTGAACCTCTCCATATGAATTCTGTGTGGTGTTCTTTTACTCACTGCCAGTATTTCCCTAACCTTTGCCACCACCAGGTAGTGGTCAGTATCTCAATCTGCTGCCCTCAATGATTGGACTGCCCTCAGCAAACCTGCCCTATACATACCTGCCTATACCCTATACCTGCCCTATACATACATAGGGTGCCTACCCTATACCCTATACCTGCCCTATGTTGTACTTCTAACATTCCAAGTATCAAATCTTACATCCATTTTCTTTTGCTTAGATACTTTACCCCAGAATCTGTCCAGGTCCGAGGTTTCTTTAGAATTTTCGTAACAAGCTCATTTTTACGGTGAGGAGTTGTTATCCCCATGCCCAACCCCCAAGCTGGAGGACCACACCTTGTCGGCTGTCTGCATCTGTTTATTCAATATATTCGCAGCTACCCTCCATCCGCAACCTGAGGATACACCATGCTGTGGTGACAAGGGACCCGCCTAATATGGTTTGGACTTTTTTTTTATTGCTAGTGGGGTGTGACTAAGTCCCTTGTACTGTGGCCACTTCTGGCCTATTGTACCAGCCCCAGATGATAGGTGAGGGTGATTGTGGATCAATTGGTGGAATGAAGATTGGCAGGAGAAACCGAAATACTCTGAGAAAACCTGCCCCAGCGCCACTCTGTCCACCACAAATCCCACTTGATACTACCTGGGATCGAACCCACGCCGCTGGGGTGGGAAGCCAGCGACTAACCGCTTAAGCTATGGCACGGCCATGGTTTGGACTTACCTATACATATGTAATATGTAAAGGCTGTTGCCTAGCAATGGTCATCTCCATCTTCTGGGTGTTACAGTTAGTATTCTCTCTTTGGTCCACCCAAATGTATAGGAACTTGTTCAAAACAGTAAACATTCAGTCTCCTGCTGAGGGGGGGGGAGGGGAGAAGAAGGTCCGCTGCTCTGCTCAGAGCACCTACACTGAAAGGCCAATCCCTCATCCAATCGAAGAGGACACACCATTTCTCAAGAACATAAATGTCTAGGACAGAATACAAATCTTTTGGGTGTACAATTAGTGTTTTCATCTTGGTCCATTTTGATACATGAGGGACTCAGTGAATAGGTCACAAATGGATATAAAACAAAACGTGTGATATTTGGAACTGGAAAAAAAAAAAAAAATTTCCCAACATATCCTCCATCAACACTGATACGCTTCTCCCATCGCTTCACCAGTGTGTCAAAAACTGAAGCATAGAAGTCTTTTGACTGTCAAAGTCATTTTCACATCTCCATTTCAACCTCATCATCAGCAAAACGTCTGCCACCAAGATGGTTTTATAGCGGACCAAACAGATGGAAGTCACTAGGGGCCAACACCAGGCTGTAAGGTGGATGTTCAAGAAGTTCCCACTGTAGTTCCCGAATTCTCTCCTGGGTTGCTTAGGCTGCATGGGGTCTGGCACTGTGAAGATGAAGCAGTACCTCTCTTGCCAGTTAGTGTGGATGTTTTCTGGGAATTGCATCTTGAAGCTTCAACAGAACTTCACAGTATGATGAAGAATTCACATTTTCACCACGCTTCTGAAAATGGGTTAACAGTACTAGCTGGGTATCCGAAAACAAAATAAGCATAACCTTCACAGCTGATGGCATAACCTTAATTCTTTGGTTGAAGGTGAACTGGGATGTTTCCATTGTAATGAAGCATGCTCTGATTCGCATTGGTAGTGATGTACCTATGATTTGTCCCCAGTACCAATCCTGTTAAGCACATATTCTCCATCATCTGTATACTGTAAGAGATGTCGCAAGGACAGACTCATTCGGTTAATTTTTTCTCGATCCTTCAGTTCTCTGGGCACCCACCATGAGTACATTTTAAAAACTTCAAATGGTCATGCATTATGCTGTATACTAAACCATGGGAACACCCTAGTGCAGTTGCTACACTATCATTATCCTTGTGTCACCTCGAATCAACTCTTCCGCCTGCTGCACAGTTACTTCTGTTGCAATCTCAAAGGGCGACCTAGCTGAGCATCATCTGCACTTTCCAACGTCCTTGAGAGAATTTTTTGACCCAGTTGTGAACTGCTTTATGCAATAAACGCTTCCCACTATAAATAGGAAATACTTCTTTATGAATAACCTTAGAAATGAGTCCTTCTGACCCCCAAAAAAAGCACAACTGAAAGCTGCTCTTTGGTGTTACACTCCTCAAGCAGCGGTCACCATTTTGACTACTGAAACCAGCCTCTGAACATGTGCATGCTCATCTGCTACCTAGACTGCCATGAAGCTGGACTATGCTACTACCTAGTGATAAACACAGAAAACCTATTATGTCCATTACATCTGTTTTACTTCCATTTGTGACCTATTTACTGTCCGTACCTCGTACTATGTAGACGCTCAACACAGACAATATTCAGTGTCAGTCCGAGAGGAGGAGGAAGTCCGCTGTTTTGCTCAGTCAGAGCATTTACGCTGAAAGCCCGATGCCTCCTCTCATAAAAGAGGAGACCCCATTGCAGCGATGGGGAGGGGGGAATGGAGACATAGACAGGAACGAGATCACATAAGCCTACTTTATGTAAGTACGCTAAAATCTTTCTCTGTTAGTGGGATCACATGGTTGAAATTCCTGCACTATTACTGTCTTAAATGTTTTCAGTTTTGAGCGTGTGTGGAGTTTTCAAGCAGGCTGTGATGATAATTTTGTATCACTTATCTCCTATGAAAGCATCAGAGAATTCTCAGGAGAACATTCTAGCTCAGCATCACCATCTAGATTCTCTTCAGCAAGCATTCAACACTCCATATGAACATTCCTTCACCATTAGTGACCAATAGGACTTAATTCATTTACAGCTCTACAAATAGTTCATCTGTGTGGAAATACAACATCCTAAAATGTATGCCATCACTTCTCACTTTCTTGCAGAGCCACTTTTCACATGGATTCTGTACATGAACACACACTTCTAATGTGTATTGTCATATACAGGGCATTTTGACACATGAAGTAACAGAGTTTATGTACAGTAAAGCAGCAAGAATTAAAGCAATGTGGGTTTCAGGGTATGTAAGTGGATCTGACCATGACAGATGTGCTTGCTTCACAGTAGCTATTCAACAATTTGTTGGGGAGCTCAAACAAATCTCTTAGCACTTTCCAAGGGTCAAATCAAGAGCAATGAAATGTCCAGTGATACTTACATTCTGTTTAAGAGCTGCTATTTCTAATTCTGGAGATAATGTTTCAGACAGACCTATTGTACCTGAAATATTATGAAGTAATTTAAGCAGTCTAAATATAATACAAAGCCAAATGTTTTAAATCATATTATAATATAAAATCACAGATTTCAAAAAGTTGCCTGCTAATGAAAAACAGCTGGATGGAAGGAAAGATAAGAAAAGAACAATTCCAAAGTGAGAATAGTAAGAGGAGAAGTAATGTGAAACATGCTACAGGACACTACTACCCAGTAAGTCACTTGAAGGTTAAAATTAAAGCTGTAATATATTAAAAGTTAATGAAATTGGTACACTTTGCTGCTTCTTTCAGTCTGTGGTGTAGCTGTGTTGTAGGTTCTCTTCTTGTGTGGTTTGGCATGGTGTTGGTTGGTACCTAGACCAAGACTGTCAAGTCTTCATTAGCCATAAATGAGTTAATATGTGAGTGTAAGTGATGTGTGTACAAAAACAAACCATCTACAACATAAATTAACGGCAGCCCAACAACAACTGCATCAAGACATGAGACAAAATATGCAGTCTTGCTTCATTCGTGATTCATCAGCATCATGACTCTTTCATAATCTCATTCATTTCAACTGTGCTCCTCTCTTTGCATCATGTTGCAGAGATCGTGTCTTGACTGTTACATATCTTGACGCTTGCCAGTGTGCGGCCTACCTAAGTGTTTTAAAGAGAGGAATGAAACAGTATCAACACTTTTCCATCCACCGGCACACTCGGTGTGCCGTGATTCTTTTGAGGATACTGAAATTGAGCAAAGTTAATAATAGTGGTTGACGGTAAATTGTAAAGTTGTCCCTGTCCTTAACTAACTAAGCACTATGCCATGAAGACATATAGGGGAGTGGCTGTATAGTTCCATGTTTTCTTGACCTTGGCACTAGTTGGAGGTAAGTGGTCAGCTTCACACTCTGACCGCTTTACCCCTAGGGAAAGAGCCCGCAGCACCCATTCAATAGGAGTTTGGGTGGGCCCCAGTGTTTTTATCTAAAACACTGTCCTGTTTATATTTCAAAACACATCCTCTCAGAGATTGGATTCTCTCTCTGTTTTCAAATGAAACCTACTCAGTTGGGCCCAAATGATAGAGCTAATCACCCTCTTCATCATATGGTGCTTGATTATGGGGTATTTTGAAAAACAAAAAGTTGTGATTGACAGATATACTGTATATTAGTGATATAACAGGATGCCTAACTTATGAATAAAAATAAACTCCACCTAGGTTAAAAATGCATGGAATTTTCATGGGTTTCATCACTCTCCAAGAAAATTCTGAGACACAACCTTGAAATTGGGCAAGACCACTTCCGTCTACAACCCTAGAATCATTAATTATTATTATAAATCAATAAATAAAAATCTTATAAGTACACACTCCAAAAGAGAACACAGGTAAATGATGATCAGCTGAATATGTAACTTGTATGAAAGCAACAAGAAACATATACAGAATTTTTGGCAGTGAAACCTGATAGAAAGTAACTATATTTGAAGAAATATGGGGCAATAATATTAAGTTGGATCTTAGAAAGACAGACGTGAGGATATAAATTGGACTCAGATAACAAAGACAAAACAATTCCATCCAGTGTGACTATTGGAGTTTTTACTACTTGAAAACTCAACGCCCTTACATGTTTCAGTCTTTACAGACCATCATCAGAGGGAACATTGATACTTTTTTGGAAACTACTATCACACTGGGTGTTTTGAGTGTTAAATACATATACATAAAATGTTTGTAATGCACAAGATATACAAAATCCAACGCTTCCACAACTACAGCAGCTTTCTTGGTATTTTAAAGTTTTTTAAACTTTGTTATTTCAGTTAAAATTTATAAACCAAGTAGGTTTGTGTCCCTTCTCCTACCGTCTTTCTTGATGAGGGCTGAACTTGTGCCGCCTGTCTATCTTGAGAAGGAGATTCTTGGTATCATCCTGTGTTTGTTTGTGGTGTGCCGTGTTGTTTTTTTTCCACACTGGACGGAGTTGTTTTGTCTTTGTAATTTGTTAGTGTGACGGACCAGAATGAAACAAATCAATTTGTACTCAGATAGTTCATGATCATGACAGTGATCAAGTTTTATACCCATGCAAAACCACAGGAAAAATTAGTTTTGAAAATTTCAATTTTTACTGTTTTAGGCAGCAGACAAGAAGACAAAAGAGTCTAAACTGAACGGTGGCAAGCGTTACCCAAGCTTAATCTGCTATTAATTTCCTTACGATGACAGTTTCGATCTGTTAGTGCCATTCACAAATGTTTTAACTTTACCACATTTTCACAGGATCTATTAAACATCTCTCTGTCATGATTTTGCCCTGCATTCTGGTGAAGACATGAACATATATTTATTTTCTCTGTGTTTACTTCTAGGCCACCCTCATTCCTAGTGTCAATTAGAGCTTCTGTATTTTTTCTTATATACTTATGTTATCTCCCAATAGATTTATATCACCAGCACAGACCACAAGTTGATGTGTCCAATTCAATTTCACTCACGTCTGGTTTTTCTTCCTAATGGGATACTCTAAAGCAAAGGTCAAATGCAAAATTGGTAAAGCATTTTCTTGTTTTAGATAAATTTGAACATAAAATATACAGTATGCAGATTTTCAGAATTCAGGAGAATAATTAGAACCATGAGTGGGTTGAGATCTAGGGACTCTCACAGAGATGCATTTAGGAATTGGGGAATTTTGCCACTGCAGTCCCAATATATATTTTCTTTATTGATGTTTGTTGCAAATAGTATGGGTTTATATCACATGACATCACAAATTCATGTCCTTAATACTAGGTGTCATTTTGATCTTTATCGCCCTCAAACAAATTTGACACCTTACCAGAGAGGACCTTACTACAGGGTGGGCCAGACTCAATTAGGCAGTTTTTGATTAGATGTTATTTTTACTGATAAATGTTAACAATTGCAATGGTTACAAAAATGGAATCGCACACACATAAGTCATCGATTTTCAAGATGCTGGTCAACCTGGGCACCACCTAAGTCAACACAGGCTTGCAGACGCAAAGCAACATTTTCACACACCTTTCTACACATATTCACCGGAACTTTATTGAACTCCTGAACAATCACCTCATGTAGATATTTCACACTGTCAATGGGATTAGCGTACACCTTGTCTCTGAGGTAACCCCAAAGGAAAAAGTCTGGTGGGGTGATGTTGGGTGATCGGGCTGGCCACTCCACAGGCCCTCGACGGCCAATCCAGCGATGAGGAAAAACTTGATGCAAGAACGCCTGAACAATATTGGTGAATTGAAGTTCTGGAATGACACTTTCCCTCAGCAACTTTAGGTAGGTTTCCCCCATGACGCAACCTTCAAGGAAGAACGGGCCAATCAGTCCTTCGTACATCACGCCGCCCCACACCATCACTCCCAGGGACTGGAAATTGTATTCAATGGTGGCACTGGGGTTCTCTGGCCGCCAAAACACGCAGTTGTGTCTGTTGACCGATCCTGATGTGTGAAATTCGGCCTCATCGGTCCAGACAGTATTCCAGATAAGGTCAGGGTTCTCCTGAAACTTGGTCAGCATCAACTTGGCAAACTCAAGTCGCCTGTTGAAGTTGTCCTCGTTAAGAACATGAATAAGCCATGGATGGTATGGCGTCAGCTTCATGTCACTCAAAACTCTCCGCAAACTGGTCCTCGAAATGTCCAGTAGGGTCAACAAATGGCGGGTAGACTTCGATTTCTGAGGAGATGATGCCAGTTCCGCAGCAACACGTGCTTGTGTGTCAGCAGTTCGGACAGTTCTCGGCTGACCAGGATGCTTGGGATTCAAAGCACTGGCAGTTTCATCAAACTGCTTGTTTATTCGGACGATTGTGTCCCTGTGGACTGCTGGCGGTCCAAATTCTTCCAAAATCCTGCGCTGGACTTCTGATACATTGTTAGTAACTGAGAAGAGGCGCACACATTTTACACGCTGCTCGATAGACAACCGTCTACCTGCCATGACGTTTCCTCGATGCACTCTAAGTAGGTAGAGTATTGACCTTGTTCACAGCATACCATATGATGCTGCCATCTATCAACAACAAAGGTACTTTCCCATTATCCCGTGTGTTGTTGGATTGGTTAGTTTTTAATGACCAAAAACTGCCTAACTGAGTCTGGTCCACCCTGTATTTTGGTATTAAACTTTTTAATCACCTTCCTTTAAATGTAAAAGAGTTAATTCATAATATTAATGAATTTAGAGCAGCATTAAATGCATTTTTACATACTAAATCATATTACACTTTATATGAATATTTTAATTAGGGATAGTTTCTTGTTTAGCTATGACCCATTATTTGATCTATTGTCATGTATCTGTTTCAATTTTGTATTATATTTTATATACACATGGTAGGTTATGTAGTTCCAGTGAGGTGTACGGGTTTCATATGCTCGATTTATTGTTGTGGATTTATATGCATTGTTCTGTTGACTACTTGCTGATTTGGCAAGCTTGTGGTGTGACAGCTTCTGTATCCAATGGCTTTGGCCTTGTATGGATGTGCTGGAACGTGTAATAAATACAATATAATACAATATGTTTACATACACAGAATGTACTATAAGTTTCACTTAAACACATTTCAATAAGCCTAACCAGTTTCATGGGTATCCCCAAACTTGGGATTATTGCACACTTCCCTCCTAACTGAATCATTGGTTTTCTTGAAGTCTATAAGTGGCTCATATTCATATTTTTCTCCAGTATCTGCAAAAAGTCCCAGACAGCAAGCAAAATTAAACTATTACAGTAGCCAGAACTATAATTTTATCTACTGTATTTTATAAGTGCAAAGCTTGTCCTCTTACCCCAAGGGGAAACCATATTGGGGGTGCATGAGAACAGGGTGCTGATGTATTAAGACTTACCTTTTGAAAAGTTTAACTTTATTCATTCTAGTCTGTCACACTAGTCTATACTATAGAATGATTTGACTATACCATCCAGTGTAAATAAAATTTGTGTGTATGTGTGTATATACATGATGCCTTTACATGTTTCGGTCAATTAATGACCATCTTCAAAGGCAAAGTGCCTCAACAAACAAGTGAAGAAGCAGCTCAACAACAAACACAGACTCTTAACAAACTATATAAAGAAGAAAAAACACTGCCAGGACCTCCAAAGGTGGCAGTCTACCCAATGTCCCATTGATAGAAGAGACACAAAGACACAAAACTTAGCGGTTTAAGATTTTAAACATTAAGAATTTTATTAATATTTTAACTCACCACATTTTAGTTTAATTAAAATCTTTATATATAAAACTTTGAACTTGATGTACTATGATTTATGAACAGTATTTTCCTCAAAGTGTTATTTGCCTTCTGAAGATGAGTCATTAATTGACCTAAACATGTGAAGGCATCATGTATATACACACATACACACACAAATTNGTCATTAATTGATCGAAACATGTGAAGGCATCATGTATATACACACATACACACACAAATTTTATTTACACTGGATGGTATAGTCAAATCATTCTATAGTATAGACTAGTGTGACAGACTAGAATGAATAAAGTTAAACTTTTCAAAAGGTAAGGTGAGTCACACTGTATGGTGTAGTCAAATCATTCTATAGTACTTTCCTTTTGACCCACATTTTCTACTCCACAGATGAATTTATATTACTAAGAAATATCTGAGTGTCTGAAATCATGTGTTTAATCATAAATTTGGAATACCTATATTTGTATACATTGATTACAGTCAAGTGTCTGACTGATAACTTTATATCGACCTAGGGGTGTCTAAGAGGGCATGCGGCAGCGTAGTTGGTTAAGGCACTATGCTAGAAGCCGGAAAGTTGTGGGTTCAAGTCCCAATGAGGTCACTGGATTTTTTCAATTGACCTAATCCTTCTGGCCGCACTGTGGCCCTGGGGTCGACTCAGCCTCTAACAGAAATGAGTACCAGGAATATTCTCGGGAGTAAAGGGTGACCGGGGCATAGGGCTGACAACCTTGCCGCCATCTATGAGCCAATTTTCTAGAAAATGTGGGAACCTCAACATCTCACACCCCTATGGGCCTCCACGGCCTGTTACAGGGATACCTTTACCTACCTTTACTTTACTTTTTAGCTGTCTCTAAGCATACCATAAAATTGCTGTGCAGCTGTTAATAGTGTGGCCAGGTGACTTAATCTGATGTGACAGCTTATGCTTCAGGAATGTTTTGTATTGTCTTTCTGCATCTGCTATATTGTATTCTAACCTGTGACATGCATCTGTGGAATGCATGTATCTATTTATGTCTATTCATAATGTAGCAACAGACCGAAGAAAAATGTATAATGAGCTTCATAATTCGTACTTTTCACTGAATATTAATGTGATCATATCAAGCAGGATTATATAATGTGCATGGTATGCAGCATGCATGAGTGAGAGAAAGAGGAAGAAAAGCATAAGAAATTTTTGTGAGAAGAGCTGCAGAGACCACTTAGGAGACCTTGGCATACATGGGAGGACAGTATGATCTATAAAACGTGGAGAACTTTTTTTGTTAGTTTAGTTGCTGTTACCTTTTCAAGGACGCTGCCCTTTGGTTAGTACGTAGGCAGGATAAACACTGAAAACCGAAAAGCACAAACAAGTTGGGGTAGGGAGGTATTTTCTTTCGGGGGCAATACTGTGTATCTGGTAGCCTAAGTCTCCTACCTCTATGTCTTAAGCTTGCAAACCATATGATCACTACTATAATAATAAGTATAAGCAACAATCTTCTTTTCGTTCTCATTTCTTGCGTTGGCACTGACAGGCTTAATTTATTTTGTGTTATTTCTTGAAACATGGCGCACACACAAATTTGCACTACGAAGATTTCTACATAACTGGCTATGTGATCATCATTTTCTGTGATGAAGTAATCACAATGAAACATTCACATTATTTATTGCTTTTGTTATTGCCACTGTGGACACAGCATCCCCCCCTCCAAGACACAAACAGTCCACTAACACCAATCAACAATCACCGCCATGTCAGGCTGACTAACGTAATTCAAATTTGGCTTCATATATATATATATCACTCATAACTTATGCGCTCTTCGGTTTTCTTATTACTTATGATGAGAAGCATATAGCATGTTACTTTTAAGCCGAGCAGTTTTACTAAATAAATAAACTAATCATATGCTATAGAATACATTTTAAAAATTGTCAAGTAGTGGATTTATATTGGCGAACCTGTGTACATATGATTTCCGGGAAAAATCAACAGAAAATATATATAATCCGTGTTGGGAGAAAGAAAGTTAACGTAGGTTGAATGATTGCAGTAGTGGAGGAAGTGTGAGTAGTTGTAATACTTTTCACACACATATACATAATCTGCAGAGTCGGCAGTAAATATATGTATTCAGTAAGTACTGGGTCGATAATGAGATATGCCCAGAGGCGTAAATCGTTTTTTTTTTCTCACGTAAGTATTATTTTAATACTTGTAATGGGGTATTACTCAGGTTCTTGTGATAGAGTTAGGATGGTGTATCTCTTCAGTCAGTGTGTACTTTCCGATATTGTCAAGTAGGTCCACAGCTAGTGCATTAGTGTGATATTCTAACACTTTTATTTCACTGAATACTTTGTTAGTTTGTAGATTTTCGTGAAGCCTGTTGTTATTTATGTACCAAGGTGCGTACGGAATGGATCGGAGAGTCTTAGATTGAAAATGCTGGAGGATTTCAGTGTTGGAATTAGAGGCTGACAATACAGGCGTCACAGATCCGTTGCATGTATTGGGCCGGATGTTGAGCTCGTCAGATAAATTAAAAGTAGTTTGGATATGCAGTCAAGTCCAAATGGACGCAACCTAGATATAATAGGAATATAATACAATTAGGAATTTGTCATATATTTAAACATTCACATTATATATTGTCTTTGTTATTGCCACTGTGGACACAGCATAGCTGAATTGCGTTGTTACATATGGATTTGAGAGCTTCTTTGTATGTGAGGAATTTGCTTTCTGTTGATAATGTTGATCTTTCTCTGGGTTCTTTTGATTTTGATGTGCTTTGCCCATGTCAGCCTTCATTTTTCTGGGATAGATCAACATTGCCCATTTGCACTGTCAGACAGGTTTTGTTGCATAGGGTGAATGTAGTATACATAGATACATAATTTCACAGATCCATTGTCCGGAAACCGGACCGGATATTGAATTCGTCAGCAAAATGACATTGCAAAATGCAATCTAGTCTCAACAATTAAAATATTCAAGAATTATAAAATGAAAAATACAATAATAAAATAAAAAGCAGTCATATAACAAATCTAGATAATACATA